AAAAAAAAAAAAAAAAAAAAAAGTGGGGACGGGGGGAGTGAGGCCATTACATCAGCATGAACATTTAATAGGGAGATTTATGAATGAGGCATTACAGGAATATTAACTGAAATTGAATTGATCACTTGAATTGGGAGTTTAAGGATATCTGAATCTCCAAAGAGATTCTCAATGCAAGGTGTTATTATACATTGTAGTGCTTTTCAGGTTAGCTCTGATGAATATTTACCTATCTGATTTGTAGCCTGAACTTATTATCTAGTGAAGGTCCTCTCTGGTGGTTATTCTTCTTCTCAGTTACAGCCTGAATGCTAGGTTACAGCAGTCACTTCCCTGGTGGGTCCTGAGTCCTCTTGCAGCTGCATGAACGGATACATCCACAGTCACACCTCATCTTCCTACTTCTCTACTTGCAGTGTATTTGCTTTGCAGAATTCTCTTCTTATTTTTAGGCTAAATATTTTGAGACTATTCAGGAAAGTGCTAGTAAGTACAGACCAGAACCACTTTAAATGGTATTTAAAGCTTTACCAACTGTGGGTGAACAGACTCCTATGGGAAAGACAACCGAATTCTAATTACGTTTTAATTAAAATGAAAGGCATGTAGCTCGGGATGTTGATAAAAAGACGTCAAGATGAATGCGTAGCAAAAGAATCAATAACAAGGGAAGAATTTTACTATCTCGACGCAAGCCACCTATAGATTTAAAATGGGAATGAAAGGCATTGAGAATCCTAGGGAGGGTGTTGCTTCAGTGGGATGCATACATCTGGTGATGGATTAGGGAGTTTGAGAAGGAAATTACACTTTTTATGTTTATTTATTTTTTGAGAGCGAGCGCATGCGCACAAGTTGGGGAGGGGCAGAGAAAGGGAAACAAACTGAAGCAGGCTCCAGGTTCTGAGCTGTCAGCATAGAGCCCTACAAGGGGTTCGAACTCATGGACCGCGAGATCATGACCTGAGCCGAAGTATGACCTGGCTCATAACCACCTGAGCCACCCAGGCGCCCTTGAGAAGGAAATTTCACTTAAAACCATAGGGTACACAGGATACAGGCACTCAGATGGAAGGAGGGATTTCAGAACTAAAACATGGCTCCACCTAGTGGAGACTCCAGAGTGTTTCCTTCTGCTCTCCGTGGCAGTTCTGGTTTGAGAGTGGATTATGGAGAATGCTCTGCTGAGGAGAAAGAACACTACAATCAATACCTCATAACAAAATGTAAAATGTCAATAACCTTGTTATCAGAGTTTAAAGTAACACTTAAAATCCGATGGTAAGACTCTAAGAATAAAATATATGTAATTTTATAATTCTCTAGGAAAATCTCTAAAGAGATTTTTTTTTTTTTTAAACATACAGGCATTTATATAGTCATCTACGTGCAGAAACTCAGGAACACTGATGCAAGTTTCTTACAAAAGCCTCTGAATACTGGAAAAAAACCCAAATCCTGAAGTATGCAAAGCGAATTTCTGCCCTTCCCTCCTCCCTCCCCCTCCCTCTTGTTGGGATGGATAAACTCTTGAGCTTGTTTTCTATCTCTGCCAAAGGCAAGATAGATGCCTAATATGTCATTATGTATTACACAGAATCACTGGATGAAAATATAAAGTATGATTTTGCATAGAACTCATTGAAACAATGCAACTAAGCCCCTAGTATTCTTGCTTCTGTTCCCAGCAGGTTTCCACTCGTGCCAATGGGCTGGGCACAAGCCCGACATGGGGGTTACATTGTGCTCCACTCAGAAACAATTTATGTTTACAGTAACTCCTAAGCCCACACAAAATTCCACATGCTTTTTGTTATTTCCTTCTAGGGTTTTAACACTGATGCCAAGTGTTCAAATCAAATACAGATATTGCCAAATAACAGGGCACACTGTGAGGTTAGGTCGAAGAGGGTTTATTATCGGGTGGCAGGACAGGAACTTGACGAGCAATGTGAATACAGAGATCTACTGAGCACACCTTTTCCTTCTTGCCCGTCGGATATATGATACAGTAGCTGACAGATCAAAGTAAAGCATGTGTCGTTTACTTTGCAAAAATCCATGTGTTAGTCTCCTAATTGTTCTGATCCCAGAAAGTGAATCATGCCATGATTCAAAAGAGCTGTCCTTCACATAAACCTAGGAGCACACATTTAAAAAATGATTTATTGTACATCTTTGCATTTCTTAAGGCATGAACAATGGCGTACAGATGGAACAGGTTCTGAGAAGTATCACATCTTTTTTGACAAGGTCAGCACAAGTACACCACATCAAATAGACACACTCGAAGTCTGAGCTGACCAGCTGCCATGGACCGGGAGCTTCTCTGAGGACGGGATGGTGCTTCCAGACAAAGGACCAAACGCGTGGTTTAGACGTCATGTTGCTTTTAACTCTCTGGATCAGCTTTAAGCACCAGTTACAGTTTGTTTTCTTCACAGACACTTCAGACTTTGGATTTTATATTCTGCTCCTTTTTTTCTGCTTTTCAAGGAGGGCGTGGATGTTTTTTAAGGGATATGGTTGCAGCAAAACAGAAAGGATCCAAAAGTGGTTAGGGGCCTTGTCTAATGCACTTCTGAAAGTCCATTATAAAGATGAATAGAAAAGCAAATGGTCGGTTTTCAGTCGACCCAGAAACCACGCGGAGCTCTAGGAAACATAATTGTGCATAGTTATTTATTCATTCAGAGCGTGATATGTTGGCTAGCTCTACATTCCCAGTTTACCAAAGAACAGGACTGTCTACTTTGCTAAACCCAGGGTCCTTTCGCAGCTCCCAGTAGGTATCATTAGAAACCCAGGCTTCTCTTTGATTGGCATCAATAACTTTTCTGTGGAAATATAAAAACCGACATTAGACTCCAATCACATCAAGATGACCTGGTAATTGGACCCTCTCCTGTAGATGAGATGTGTATGTATAAGTGGTACTTCGTGAGCCAGTTAGTTTCCTATCTGCTTATTGATGGCTTGACTATTTTTGACCAAAAAGAAACTCATTTATATTTGTTCCTCTTGTTTGGTTGAAATGGAAGTGGATGGGGTCCTGGGGAGAGGGGTTAAGGGCACAAATAAATCACTTCCAGGCAAGGCTAGAAAGTGAACAGTGCCCAAAAAAGCACATGCAGGTACTGTACTAAGAGCTTCAGGTCCCACACAAGAACAGTCTGTGCTTCACTTGTGGGGAAAATTATACAACCACAGTAGCTCCGTGAGCCTCTGCAAGGCTCACGCCCAGAGTGCACCTTCGACACCTAAAGGGCACGGCTGCCTTCCTCCCCAGAACAGTCACAAGATGGCGCCTTGAAAGCATATGAGCTTATTCTGGGCTGATAACGGCCTGGCTCTGGAGGGCCACAGACGGATTTGGAAAATACAGCTTACTCTGTGTGATGTCTACATGATCCTGCAAATAATCCTGTAATAATCACCCATGAACACACCATAGAAAGGCCAAATCTGAATGACATAAGCCCCGTATGATAGAAATAAAATGAAATACTAATGAAGCCAGGATGCCCTTGAGGGCAGTGGGGGTCCCATCGTGGCCCTGAGTGAGGGGGTGGAAGCAAGGTTCCACCATTCCAAATGGTGTAGTTGAAGGACAAACAACATTTTTGTACAAGACTCTCAACCTTTTTGCTGCCCACGAAAAGAAAAGAGCTGTTGAGGAGAATTTATTTTTATGGTTCCAAACTGTTCACAAGTGCAAAATCTGGCTCAATATTTTCACTACCGAAACCAGAGTGACCAAAATCAGTTTAATCTGAAGTTCCCTGGACATTAAACTATCTCTCACTTTATTTTTTTCACCTGGAGTTTCTCACTGCTTGTGGCAATAATTTGCAAAGTGTGCACCTGTTGGGAATGAACCGACTTACTTAAAAAATTTTGGTATATGTTCAAGGTTGTTTTCTTCCATGTAGCGCCTGCGTGATCTCTGCAGCTCCTCTACTCTTTGCTTCTCTGCTGCCGCAGCTTCTAAATTTCCTTCTTCCAAAAACCTAAGCAGAACACAGTTATCTCTTTAATATTTTATCCTCTTTTCTGAGAAAAAAAAAAAAGTGTCATTTTGTATAAGATTACCTTCTGGCTGCTGAGGATATCACATGGCGAACAGTCATACTCTGGTAATGTCCCCTGGCTCCCGCCCCAGGCCACGCTACCTCTGTCTGACCGCCCACCAATTAACATTACTTGCTGTGGATGCCAACTGAATTATCGCATACAGCAATGTAAAGCTAGGAGTGAAAGGTGAGCAGTTTGGCCTTGAAGACTTTTCTGTGCTCTCTCAGGCTTAGGACAACGTGAAGTACCAGATGTACTCTTTCTCCGTATTATCCAAAAAACACGTGCTAAAGCCCACAGGAAGGATGGTAGCTGGCTGCTCTCCATCTACTTTTAGAGCAGAGTGAGAGGGAAGGAGTGTCCCTGTCTTATTGATGAGAGTAAAACTGATGAAAAAAGAAAAGATAATAGTAGAGGAAATTACAAAAGGCCACAGAAAGGAAAGGAGTCATAAGTGAGGGAATATTGGACTAGAATCGAAAAGAAAAAGCAGACCCAATGGCAATTTACAAAACCTGTATTTAAATTTCAAAATGAAGCAAACTTCAATATGATGCACACAGAAAGTGTGTTGATGAGTGTGAATGTCAAACAGTGAGACTTCATGTTCTAGAGAGTCTAGAGACTTCATGTTCTAAACTCTTCATGTTCTAGAGTAGGACATTCAATACTGGGTACTGTATTTTGAATACATCTCATACCCTGTGGGGTCAAAACCATGCTGGGTAAACACGAGGCTTTGACTCAAAGCATTTCTGTAGCTTATCTTCTTATTCCTCAGGTTAAAACATACTCCATGTTAAAGAGTAGTAGAAACAAAGAGGTAAAAACACTGGAGGAGGTTTTAGTGGAGACTGAGTTCGTGAATTTGCATACTTTTGATGTCTTGGGGGCTGGGGGCGGAAACCTTTTGTTAAAAACTGTGTTATCTTCTTTGGGAAGCTTTTTGTTGTGCTAAGTATCTGTTATGATCACCCATGAATATCATGCTAGCTAGGGTAGAAGCCTCAACTCTTGCAGGGCGAATGAGGGAATGAGTGAATGATTCAATTAATAAAAGATAGTGGTGAAAATAAGCCTTGATGACATCTATAGTGCCGCCGTGCCATGATCTAGTGTCCATTTCAAATATCAATGCCATGCTCACCTCTGATCTGGCCGGAATCGGGCGTCTGTTGGTGGAAGGAGATCTTTCAGCACAGGATCTAACTCATTGAGCTCAATAGCAAACCTTGTGAAACCATAGTAGAGTTCATAGTTGGTTGGCATGGAACCTGGAACGGTGCCAATAAACCACTGTGAGTGGCAAAGAGGAAGAAGCTTGCAGAAGCTGACTTCTTAACCCAGGTGCTTAATTAATACCCACACTAATACTAAATTTATAGTCATAAATATCAGATTAAGATTTTTCTTAAGTGCATTAACTTGGCTGTATTTTGCTAGATAGGAAACATTTTGTTAATTATCAGAAGTGGTAGATTCATATATTTAATAAAATACAGTCTTTAACATAAAACTATGTGCATATAATAGTCTTCACTAGCTAAACTATGCCATGATTTCTCCCCCAAATATTCAATTGGGTAACTAAATGCCAGGGTGATTAACTATGAACATTAAGACTTCACGAGAAACACTTGACAATTTACTTCCTTTTGGAAAAAGAAAAAGGCACAGGTCTACGTTAATATTTATTGGCACTTTTTAACTAAACTCAAAGTCAGGATCTTTGTCTGCTTTGCTCATTGATGTATTCCAAGCCCTTAAAGTTTGATGCATAGTCACTACTCAATAAATAGCAGCTGATTGAATGAACTGACCACTCTACTAACAGGAAATTTAAATACTCATTGGGACTTCTTAGAAAACCAACAACTAATTTTAAAGTTAGGAGTAACTGACAAAATTCCAGTGAAAATAAATGTAAGGTGGACACTTACTCCATTTACACTTGATATTCAAGTATTGCTAGTGTATTACCAGAACTCTCTTGATGTCTTTTTGTTAAATGTCAACATAATGCAGCTTTATGCCGCTCAAGTGAGATCACTTACTCTGGTTAAGTTATTGAATTTGTGGATTATAGATGTTTGCAGGCTTTCCCTTGTTTTATTAGAACAGAGAATAAATAAGGATTTTAGTTTGTACAGTTCAATTATCTGAATTCTTTAATAAATACACCTAGCTTTTGAACGTGGGCATTACATTTAAAATGACTTTACATGAAGCCTAATCTCTGACCACACGTCTGATTTGGCTTAAATTTTATAATTCCTTATTATCAAATGTTGGGATTTACCTAATTTATATGTTAGGTAAAAATATATAACTATACTTGTCTTAAGCATCTACGGTTTTCTTTACGGTTTGTTTGTTTATGTTTTTAGAGAGCGATCGAGCATGGGGGAGGGGCAGAGACAGAGAGAGGGAAAAAGAGAATCCCAGGCAGGCTCTGAGCTGTCAGTGCAGAGCCTGACACAGGGCTCGATCCCACGTACGGTGAGATCATGACCTGAGCCAAATCCAAGAGTCAGACGCTTAACTGACTGAGCCACCCAGGCCCACCAAGCATCTATGTTTTTAATCTCACTATTAAAGAAAACAAACATGAGGGGAACTTCATGAGATGTGACATTCCCAAGGTGCCCTCCTAACGCAAGACACCCATACCCATCTCACCTGGTCTCCAGATGCACTTGGCAGAAGGGGCCACGCCACAGAAGAGCCCTTCATGCCACTTCCCAAATAGCCGGTGGACCACCTTCCCCTCCTGATCCATTACAACCCCCTGGACTTCATTCACATTAGAATTCCAGTAATTCACCTGGAAAAACCAAACTCAATTAAAACATCCGATGTCTTTAATAACACCAATCCCTATAATTTCCATAAGGAAAATTTTCTTAACTTTGAAGTTACTCATTCAAATCACTTCCAGAAATCTACCTCAAAATGTTTTATAGGAAAGTCTGGCTTTCTAAGTGTTAGTTGGCTTAACTTTATTTTTTTTAATTTTTTAAATGAAATTTGAGTAATCAGTTTTTACCTGTATGGCTAGTACATTTTCTTGATTACTTCCAAGCTATGGGGATAGTCTTTTTTTTTTCTTTTTATGAACTTTATGGACTTGCCACTCACCATTGATCGATCTCAAATTAGTTGTATGTGGTGTGATGTGGGGATCTGAGTTTATTATTATTTTCTAATTTTTAATTATGTTTTTAATTAAATTCCAGTTAGCTAACCTATATGTAATATTCTTTTCAGGTGTACAATTTAGTGATTCAACATATACAACACGTAGCCCTCATCACAAGTGCCCTCTTTAATACCCATCACCTGTTTCTTCCATCCACCCCCTACCCATCTTTTTTTTTTTTTTTTAATACATATACAGTTTATTGCCAAATTAGCTAACCTCAGTGTATACGGTGTGCTCTTGGTTTTGGGGGTAGATTCCCATGATTCATCCCTTACAACACCCAGGGCTCATCCCAACAAGTACCCTCCTCAATGCCCATCACCCATTTTCCCCTGTCCCTCACCGCCCCCTATAAACCCTCAGTTTGTTCTATTTAAGAGTCTCTTATGATTTGCTTCCCTCCCTCTCTGTTTGAAACTATTTTTTCCCCTTTCCTTCCCCCATGATCTTCTGTTATGTTTCTCAAGTTCCACATATGAGTGAAAACATATGGTATCTGTCTTTCTCTGACTGACTTATTTCACCTAGCATAATCCTCCCCAGTTCCACCCACGTTGTTGCAAAAGGCAGGATTTCATTCTTTAAAGAAAGGGATAATCTCTATGCTAGGGCAGAAAAGACTCTGTTTCTATCCTAATAACCTAAAATTAATTTACAGGTTAGTAATTTCTTCCTTAGATCCTCCTATCTCAAATTTTTCCTTTGCTCATGGATTTTAATGAGTTTCAATGGGCGATGCTGCAGAAGTCATTTGTGAAATAATTTTTATAGTGTGAGCAAATAGCTAGATTTCATCAGGAAAACCCTGGTCTGGCCTTCTTCCAGCCATGCTTCTCCCCAGGAGACTAGAAGTCTGTGGGAATTTACCCATCTGGATCCCATGGCCCCCTTCTAGATCAGGTGCTAGAATTCCCCCTCCCAACAACTCTAAGCTTATTCCACAGTCCGCAATGGCCTTTCCTTTGGATTCATCCATCCAAAGGGCAGACCATCCACCACCAGTGTGTGAATTTAGGCCTGAGGGGTGGCCAGTGGTGTTTGAGGCGAGTGTGGACAGAGCTCAGACATGCAGCTGGACTGCCTTCACATGTGTGGGCAAGGCCCCTGTGGGGCAGGACAGAGCCAGCTGCAGGAGGGGGGGAAGTGGGAAGGCCATCCATCGGGTCTGGTTCTCCTGTGCTGCCAGGTTTCCAGCTCACAGTTCTAAAGGGTCCAATCTGGCCTTGGGGGTTTTGTTATAAAAGGCATATTTGTCAAGGTCAAAGAACAGAATGTAAGCTATTTGACAGACTGTAGGTTTGATCTACAAATTTTAAATATTTACACATATGGAATTGGGGCCCCCATTTGTACTCTTGCTCTGAGCTCTGGAAATATTAGGGGCAGGCCTAAATCGAAGCTTCTCGTGGCCCACAAAACTAACTGCACACATTTGCTGTCGCCACCCAACCAGAGCCAACTAATGATCCTGGCTTTTCAGTTCTGAGGCACCTAATGAGTAGCTTTTTTTCCAAGGAAAAAAGGAAAACGCAAAAAACATCTTGAGTAAAAATAAAGACCTTCAATTAATAATATGACCTTCCAAATGGCTTCAAAGGATTTTACTAAGAGAACATTTTTGAGTGTTAAGACTTCAATATGTTACCCGCTTTTGCCACGACAGAATGAGATCAGGAGTAGAACAGATAAAGGGGCTGGTGGGATCTCTGTACCATGATGAGTTCTGTAGCATGCCTAAACAAGAGGGCAATACTGTGTGTTCCTCTTCGGACCACAGACACTAAAGGAAAATGATATTGTGTAAGCATTTCTATCCCAGGAATCTTTTCCTGTTAATAAAGGTGATGTTTTTTTCTTGAATGTATTTGGATTATAATAGTGGCAGAGTTGGATAAGCTTGTGGTGACTGGAAGCTATCATCCACACGCATCCTCAGAAAATGACAAATGCATTATAATTAGCTCCCTAAAATAAGATCACTTGACTGTGTTGCAATCAAGCAGGAATAGAAATAGAAACCAGAGGACTCGCTATAGGCAAGAAGTGTTTTCTGGAATTTTACCTAATGGGTGCTGACTGGCTGCTTAAAAAGAAAATTCTTTGGAAAGGGTATTTCTTCTGTCTTGAGATGGTGCCTTTTTTGACCTCCACACATTCAGAAGTCTAGATGCCTTGTGTAACTCTACCAGTAGGTTCTGCTTTCTTATCTAAAATGCCCGTAAGGATCAATGGTACAGGAGAGATTCACTTGCTGCTGTTTAAGGTAACTGTTTTATTTCTCCTTTACAAAGCACTTTATATTGTTTGTTTTTTTCTTGACTGTTGTGTGATATTATTTACCTTAACAAATGTGAGTTTGCAAATGCAAACACTGCTTTTGGTATTTCTAATGGTTACTTCTCCATAATGCTCTATCCACCTCCTCCCACTGAGAATATTATGTATACATGTGGTGACTTTATTCCATACATAGCAATCTCCATACCTAGGGAAGAATACAACATTGATTAAAAACAATGAAGGTTACAAATATTTATGACTGTTTCTACTACTGAGAATATTATTTGGCCAAAGCTCTCTCTTCCCTCCTTTTCCCTCTCATTTCTTTGTTGAACATTTCTATGTAGTCAAGGATATTTATGATATGACTTATTCATTTAAGGAACATTTCAGTGCTTCCTGTAGGCCAGGTGCTAAAGCTACCAAGTTGAATAGGACCTGTGTCTTGCTCTCTTGGAGCCAACAGTATGGTAGGGGTAGATGGACATGGAAACAAATACTTACAATAAAATATGATGAGGAAGTAGCATGAGAACAGAGAAAGGGGAGTCCTTATATCTGCCTGGAACGTGCGGTAAATATCAAGGAAGATTTGTTAGAGAAGGCTGGGTTCAGTCTAAGCTTAGAGGGTGGAAAGGAGGGTGCTGCAGGCTGGGAAAGGCATTGACAAAGCCACAGAGGTCAGAATAGCATGGTGCATCTGGGGGCCTGCCAGTGGTGTGCCACACATGAGCGGGTATGGTGGGTGGCAAGACTGGCAAGGTGGATCAGGGAAAGCCTTCAATGATGTCCCAATGAGTCTGGCTGGATTCACAGTGCAGGTAATGCGCCACTGTGGAAGGATCTGAAGGAGGAGATAGGCATGGTAGGATGGGACTTTAAGTAAGATTATCCTCAGCACATTGTTTCATACTCTGAGTTAAGACCAAAGATGTGAATAATTCTTTGAGAAAAGACTAATGATCACAGCACGTACCTAATGCAAATTCTGGGACAGAGTTTCTGCCAAGGAATGAGATGACATAGCTTCAGATTGCCTTTAAGTTTACACATTATCTATATTTTCTTAATTTTTTTAACATTTATTTATTATTTTGAGAGAGAGAGAAAGACAGAGAGCGAGCAGGGGAGGGGCAGAGAGAGAAGGGGACACAGAATTCAAAGCAGGTTCCAGGCTCCGAGCTGTCAGCACAGAGCCCGACGTAGGGCTCAAACCCACAAACCGCGAGATCATGACCTGAGCCGAAGTCGGATGCTCAACCAACTGAGCCACCCAGGCTAATAAAATTTATCTATTTTTCAAAATAAAATAAAACACTTCTAAGTTTCTAAGAAGACTTATGAGTTGGTATCATGTGGACTCTATATACACCATGGTGTATACAGAGGGAAAACTCTTCTCATGAATTTGCAAATAAAGTCTATTTTGTGGTTCTGGGAATTCTTCCCGTTCCCCACCTTCTTTCATATCCCATCCACCAGCAAATTCTGTCATTAAATAAGCAAAAAACAAAAGAAAACAAAACAAAACACCACCAACCAAATGAAGAAAGAAACAAAACAACAATCAAGCCTTTGGCCTCAATGAAAACTTCAATTAATTTAAAAAATTTATAGGCTATATCCTCTAGAAAAATACCATAAAAGAATTCCATCACTCTTCCTCAATAACTTAGACATTAGAAATAGTCCCTGGATCTAAGGTGAATTCAAAAGTGAAAACATATATTATATAGAAAAAAAGTGGCTAAAAAGAACCTCTGATGTAAAATGCAAACTAACATGGTGACTGGGACAGGTAGGTGGCTGGTATTGACTTGATGAACGGAGGATGAGCAGAGAGAAGTAGGGAGCTTTGATACAGATGCTAAAGTCCTCATTTGCTTTTGGTGGGGGGATCCATTCTCAAAACCTTGGAGATGTTAACAGAAGCTTTGGGCATACATAGAAATGGACTGTTGGCACCTTCTAGAGTTTCAAAGGCCCATTTCTGATTTAGAAAAGCAGGTAAGAGACCAAAAGGAAGATGAGAGCAACCTACCTGGGAAGCATGACATTCAGTGTTCCAACAGGCAGGATTTCCATCGACTTCCCCCAGAACTTGTTTTTCCATCTGATATCTAAACAACATAGGCAGAGGAGAGGAAATATATATTCCATATCTAATCATTTATTCTATAAAAACCTAACATGTGTATCACACTCTACGTTCCACAAAGAACTTTTGCAATCACAATTGATTCTATATTGATTTAACATATCAAGTACCTGGGGATGGCCCACGGTGAAAAGATTAACTGTGAACCAAAAAAATCTACTGTCTATGTCTCTCCATGACACATGTTCCTTATCTGTTTCAACTAATACAACTGGGAAAAACTCAGAACAGTATGTGTATACACATGTGTGTATGAATATTCACGTACACATATATACATAGACTCTACTGTGCTTTAATGTCTAGATAAATGTTGTTGTAAGTTTTAACTAAATGGTGGAAACAGTTAACATACATGTTAAAAATAAGATGTATAATAAAAATAATTGCAGTATGGCAATACCATGGATTTATTTACATATTGATTTGAAAAGTTATATGATTTGGGAAAATAGTAAAAAAAGAAAATCTCTAATACAGAAAGTAAGATTTATGAGAAAATGAAATTAACCTAAGGAACATGTTCCTATGCTGGTTGTTAAGATATGGCCCAGGGCTCATATGATGTTTATCTCACATGATGGCTTTATGTGTTACTGGGGGACACTCAGGTTTGCCTGTGCATTTGTAATAACCACTTGGCCCCATTTTGATGGACTGTAAGTAAGGGAGCTTAGTGTGGTTTCCACAAAATTTCTGACTCTTTGTTATGACCAAGAAATGACTTATTTTCTCATTTTGCAATCAAATACAGTCATAGTACTCTATCATTTTGTGTGTTTCCAGGTTGAGAAAGTGCATATGAGAAGAGGCATTCTGTGAGCAATGACGCTCCCTTCCAAACATGAAGGAACAATTTATACTTAATGGTTAAACGTACATATGCAGTTGACCCTTGAGCAACATGGGTTTGAAATGCATGGGTCCACTCATAGGCAGATTTTCTTTGATCAATAGGGTACAGTACTATAAATATATTTTCTCTTCCTTATGATTTTCTTAATAACAATTTCTTTTCTCTAGCTTACTTTACTATAAGAACACAGTACATACTACATATAACATACAAAATATGTGTTCATTGACTGCTTATGCTATTGTTAAGGCTTCAGGTCAATGGTAGCCTGTTAGTAGTTAAGTTTTTGGAGGAGTCAAAAGTAACACGAAATTTAGACTGTGGGGGTCAGCACCCTAACCCCAGTGTTTTCAAGGGTCAACTGTATAGTTTTCTTTCTAAAGGGGTTTTGAAGGGTACCTGGGGGGCTCAGTCGGTTAAGTGTCCGACTCTTGATTTTGGCTTAGGTCATGATCTAGTGGTTTGTGAGTTTGAGCCCTGCATTGGGCTCTGAGCTCATAGTGCAGAGCCTGCTTGGGATTCTCCCTCTCTCACTCTCTCTGCTCATGCGCATGCACTCTCTCTCTCTCTTTCAAAATAAATAAAAATAAATAAACTTTAAAAATCAACAGGGGTTCTGAAACTTGTAATTTCAGGTAAGTTTGTAACATTGTGATTAAACATTCTGGTTAAGTAGAGACTTCAAATCTCTGAGCCTCAGTGAGTTAAAGACCACAAATCAGCACAATGTTTACATACCTAAATAGACTGTGGCCATAGATGATGTGCCACAGAAACTTCTTTCACAATTAAGATCTTGAACACACTCAAAAAACAAGAAGGCAGCAGTTAGAACCTCCATATTATAGAGGGCAGATAATGAGGCATAATGAGGTAGAGTGATAGCCCTGAGCTGGCACAGTGGGCATGGAGCTCTGCTGTCCCTAGGGCTTTGTTGCCTACGTATACAATTTCATCTCCCAGATGGTTTCATATTTAAAGCCAGGAAATCTAACTTCTCAAACTCAACTCCACACCAATTACTAACATTCTCCGAGTTCCAAAGGCAGAAATCTAACCTGAGCATAATGTACATTTAGAAAGCAGAAACTGTTTCATTGGATTTTGAAGTTATAATTGAAATACAAACCTTGCCAAAACACAAAATTCTTGGATTCACAGTGACAGGCAGAAATGGGTGGATGGTGGCTAACCTGGTAATTAAAAACAAAAAAGAAGGCAATGTCATCAGTGTTAAAACTTCTATAAATGATTAAGTTTTTTGCAACATATACAGGCTACCCCCAAATAAAAAACTAGTCAACTCATCCATCTCTGTTACTGAATTATTTTCAAAATGTGTAAGTAAATTACTGAATCGGTCACTTTAAGACTTCATGCTTATATAAACACTCTCTAGAGAAGTTACATACATTAAAAGATAAGCAAAGTGAGTTTTCTGGAAGCTGGTATCATACCCCACTGAAAGCAGTGGTTTATCAAAAAAGCTGTTTTCATCATCAAACTGTCTTCCTATAGTTTCTGCACAGAAACCTCACTGAGTCCAGTTGGGCTTACCTGTTCTGAGAAAAATCGGAATCCCTTGTCCTCTCTAATGCATTCGTAAGTCTCCCCGAGGACAGGGTTGAATGGCTTACTTCCTGCTCTGAAATAGGTGGAGCAATATCCTGAAACTGCAAATGCAGCAATAAGAACCTGTTAAAACATTTAAGAAAGGAAAATAATATAGGAGAGACTACTTCCAGGTCTGTTCGTCCCTCATTCCTCTAGATTTTACACCCCCCTGTCAATGGGGGCTGATTTGGCAGCATTTTAATTCTCTATTATTTGCACAGGCTCTTCATAAACTCATGGGTAAAAAAGGAGTGAAAATGAGGCTCAACTTGGGTGGGAAACAGCAGGCAACTGAGGCCAAGTATTCTTCATTCACCTGTCACCCAGTTTTTGGAGTGTCACAGAGTTCAATGGTTCTGACACCTAGTTTATAGGTTATGTCATTTGCATAGCTTAGTGCCATGTGCAGGAGGCTCGTGGCTGCTGGTGCTTTCTTTCCAGAGGGCAGTCAGGTTTTCCACAGTCATGTGGAGTAGAGGCCAGGGCAGAGCACAAATAGGAGGCTATTTTTTCTGACCCAAGTTCTTGAATAGATGGGCTCTCTTGGCTTTCAGGAAAAGCTAATAAAGCAAGGCCGTGTAACGCTTCAGACCTATAAGGAGTGTGATACCTTTACCTCCTAACTTCAGAAACACTCATGACAAAGATAAGTCACAAAGCATATATCTTCTATAGAGGTATCTGGAACTTTACGGCCCTGCCCAATTTATGCGAACTGCTTGGTGAGAGTGTTACGCAAAACCCAAAGATTCCATCCTAATGAATACTGCCTTAGTCCACATCTAGGGTTGACGAATCCTTAAAAAGCGCTGTTCTATTATTTATTACCATGCGCTCATAGGGGTCATCAGTTTCTGAAGCCTTGTCCAGAAGCTCACTGTATTCGATCTCCTCACAGAGATGCTGCAGCGTGTTGAGTGGCTCATTCAGCTCCACAGGCATGGAGACTTTAGACAAGTCTTTACCAATGTTGTTCCTCAAGATATTCCACAGATTAATGTTACTGGTGTCAGGACAGGGAGCTGGCAGGCATGTTCGACGTCCATTTCGGAAGGCCCCTCCTGTAAGCTCCCCATTCAAGACTGGAAGAGAGAGAAAGACAAGAATCATAATAAAAGATACTTCGCTATTTTGATTTCATCACATCTAGGAAGGAAATAACTCTTTCAAATAATTATGATTGTGATACATTTCTTACGCCTTCGCTATACTCTCTCAAGAGTGAATGGAATTATTTCAACACAGGGATGCTAATAAATGCACAAAATGTCAACGTATAGTTTTTTTTTTTTTAAAAACAAGGTATTAAATAAACTCAAATAATAGTCCAGAAAAGATAAGTCAAATTTTTAAAAAGTACATAGAGTTAATAAGACTCGAACTTTTGGTTTAAACAAGAAGTAAAATTTTTTCATCTACCTAACAGATTTTTCAACCATTTACCTCAGCAGATTGTACAAACATAAAATGTATTGAAGAAACAATTAGTAAGGAGAGAAAATGATTATTCACTGAATCACCAGGGTTCTAACTTGGCAAGAAGACAGAACAACCTGGAAGCTCAAAGGATGCCTACTTTGCCGAGAAATGTTGTCTGCAACACTGGTGTTGTCTTCAGATATATTATCACTCACATCACTGATGTAAGACTCATCATCTGAAGCCTAAAAAGGGAAAGCACACAGAAAGGATCAGAATTCTTGTTTCATCTCAAAAGGTCAAAAAATCAAATGATTAAGAACAAACTGTTGTCCAAATAAATAGCCTGGGTCACAGGGAGAAATGGGCTTGGCCTACATGCAATGAACACTTGAGCGAGAGTGTGTGCCATCAGCCGGAATATAGCACTGCTCGAAAGCAGCCTTTGTTTTTTATTAAAAAAATTTTTTTTAATGTTTATTTATTTATTTTGAGAGAGAGAGAGACAGAAAGAGAGAGAGAAAGAGCAGGGGAGGGGCAGATAGAGAATTCCAAGCAGGCTTCCACACTGTCAGTGTGGAGCCTGATGTGGCACTTGAACCCACAAGACGTGAGCTGAGTAGAAACCAGGAGTCACTTAACCAACTGAGCTACCCAGGTGCCCCCAAAGCAGCCTTTGTCTTTAAGTAGCTCCCTGCCTTAGTTAGGGTGAGAGGCTGCGGGAGCCCAGTACATAATCAGGTGTATTTCAGCATAATACAATAAGAACATGCAAAAAAATAGGAGGGCTTCTACTCCTCCCTAGAGGGGTCAGGAGAGGCTGCTCAGGGGAAATAAAATTGGCACTGGGTGTTGGAGAGGTATTTAGAAAGGGAAGAAGCACAGGAGGAAGGGAGAATGTACACAGGTAAGGAACACGAGGGAAACATTCCATTCTAGGAATGCTCAGGAGTTGAGGGGCTGTGACAGAGGGTGGGATGAACAGGAGGAGGGTCCCACTGTGAAGGGCGTTTCATGACAACATAAAGGGATCCATAAAATCCCACAGAGTTATTACATGCAAGGGGATGACTGAGTCACTGTTAGTTTTCAGGAAGACACCTGGCTGCTTTGCCTTTGGGAGCTCAGCTAAGAGGATACTACATAGATCTGCGTAGGAGATAACTGACAGCTTAGGTTCAGACGGCCACAGTGAAGATCTGGAAGTAAAGCTGCTTGAGAGCCACACTTGATGACAATGGACAAAATTTGGCAGATTATTTAGGAGTGAGAGAGGAAGATCCAGGGATGGGGGAAATCAAGAATTACGCCCCTCTGTATAAGAGAAAATCATGTCATAAAATGAAACCAAAATTTGCATGGGGATAAAGTTAAGGGGCAACATATGTACTAATATGGGGAGCTAGAAATGGATCAGGTAAGAAAACAGAGCAGGACAATAGAGCCACTCAGAAATGGGAATAACCAACGTGTCTACTGTAGACAAGAAAGCTGTTGGGGCGCCTGGGTGGCTAAGTCAGTTAAGTGTCCGACTTCAGCTCAGGTCACGATCTCATGGTCCGTGAGTTCAAGCCCCCTGTCGGGCTCTGTGCTGACAGCTCAGAGCCTGGAGCCTGCTTCCGATTCTGTGTCTCCCTCTCTCTCTGACCCTCCCCCGTTCAAGCTCTGTCTCTGTCTCAAAAATAAATAAACGTTAAAAAAAAAAAATTAAAAAAAAAAAGAAAGCTGTTGATACACATACTTACTGTCTTGAAAATGGATATAACGCTACATTTTTTTCTGCATATATAACAAAACATTCTTATTGTAAAAATTAGAAATTATGTGAGGGTAAACAGATTATATAAAAATGAACCATAATTCCATCACCTAGTGGAAACCGCTTCTAACATCTGGATATTACCCCCAATTTCGAAATGCCTATAAAAACATGTTGATACATTTATCTTTAGATACTGAACAAGGGGGTCAGTTTATATACTGTGTTATGGTGTTCTGAATATATTTCCATTATAATAAATACACCTCTCATCTTTATTTGGAAAGTCAACGTAATTCATTATACAGGTATAACACAAGGAACTCAGCCAACCTTTAAATGGTTTCCAAATTTTGGCGCAGCTGGGTGACCCAGTCCGTTGGGTCTGACTCTTGGTTTCCACTCAGGTCACGATCTCACGGTTTTGTGGGTTTGAGCCCCCTGTCACGCTCTGCACTGACAGTGTGGAGCCTGCTTGGGATTTTCTCTTTCCCTGTCTCTCTGCCCCTCCCGCAATCCCACTGTCTCTGACTCTCTCAAAATAAATATACTTTAAAAAAAATGGCTTCCAACTTTTTATTATTACTGACAATACTTGGATGCACATCATTGTAAGTATATTTCTGTGATTCTGTCTGGCAATTTCATTAACATTTATTCCTAGCTGTGAAACTGCTGGATCAAATGGGTCACATTTAGGCTTTAGACACATGTTGCCAAGTTGCTCTCTGGAAAGATGGTAGTAATTTGTTCTCACTAGCAGCAGACAAAAACATCCATCTCTTTACACCCACTTAAACACTGTCCCTTTTTAGTATCTATTTACCTTATGTAGAAAAATTTCTTTTTAAATTCTGCATTTTATCTTTTTTTAAATTTGCATTCTTTTTTTTCCTTAAAAATTTTTTTTAATTTTAAAAATTTACATCCAAGTTAGTTAGCATATAGTGCAATAACGATTTCAGAGATAGAATCCAGTGATTCATCCCCTACATATAACA